TTGCGACTTGACATTGTGTGAGCAGCGACCTTGGGGATACATTGGAGACTGGGTCCATCGGGCTATGACGACTGATCCTCCCTATCTCCCTCTTCCCCCTTCATCTCCTCTCCCTCTTTCTGAGTGATGATGCATGTTGTGAGGTCCTGTCATTTTCCATGCCGAGGCACATCTTGGTATTACAGTCTTCCGCTGTGCTCTTTCTGGATTGTCTCTGAGAGGTCGGTTCTCGGTTCTGATCGATGCCCCAATTACCTTCTTCCCCCGAATACAACGTACGGTCATTATAGCTGTATTTGAGACATCTTTCTGTCTAGATACAGCCATAATGACGGTACGTTGTATTCGGGGGAAGAAGGTAGGCATGCGTTACATGTATTTGGTTGAGGTTCGATCTTTGGACTTTGAACTAAATATTTGTTTGAACTTCATATAGTTGGTACATCCGTGAACTACTGGAATATATGCGGACCTGCGTTCAGAGTCTTCAGACCCAAATGCAAAAGATGACTCGAAATATATCGGAATTGCCCGAGGCCGGTCAGTCAAAAATGATATCTCTAGGCGGTTGGCCTTTAGAAAAAAAGAAAAAAGTTTGAATAGTGAATACAAGATATGACAGGGTAGACATATTGTTTGAACGTTGAAAGGAAAAACAGAGTGGGCCTTGCTCCACTAGAGAGCACTCTACATGCATTTGGACAGTTTCTGGACCTGGTGTGTTAGGACGAGTGCAACATTTTGAATGTATAGGGTCCTGAAGGCGTCCAAATGCATGTAGAGTGTTGTGTAATGGAGCAAGGTCTAATATGTCTGAGCTGAGCTTCATACAGAGAGGGGCTGTGTGAAGGTCGTATGTCGTTTCAACCTCGTTTGGTCTTTTCCTCCCTGACATCGACCCGGCTTGTTCTTAATATATTATTTAAATTTATTTTATATACAGCTTGGGGGTCATGGGCGGCTGTGCCACGCTGCGCTGTGCATGGTCTTTTGTACGCCATCAGAGCCTCGCTGGGTTTTCGTCGTCGGCTGAACTTGACGGAGTTGTGGCTACACCATTATATGGGCTTTGCTACAGTACTCATGAAACATGAACATGTCGAGTGCAGCTGTGCACAAAAGCTGGCAAGATGCATCTGCTACTATTTATAGTAGCCGGCGCATCTTTCCAACCACTGGTGTGAAGATGCACTCAACAGTTCTCTCCTTTGGTGAGCAGTGTGGCGAGCCCCTATGTTGCGGGTTTCTGTCTCAAAGAGTTAACCTCCTTGCCTGCAATTAACTCAGCTTCTCAGTTGCTATACCAAATGGACTGTTGCAATACAGACCCATGTTCGAACTCAGCTTCTGGCTCTGGCGAACCCAATGGAGCACGAGTTTTATCTGCCAAGCGGTTCTTCGTTCGACGTATCAGCTCTTTCCTATAGCTGCCCCCGCCGTGAGTCAGTCGATGACGTAATCAGTATGCTCTGACGTTGCTGGCTGTGGCTGTCATCCTCCTTTTTCAACTGTAGTTTAATTATAATTCCTAATTACTAAAGTAGGAAACTAGTTATTACTTGGTGCAGTGTGTGCCTAAACTAAAGTAAAAAGTGGAAAACTCTGTATTGAGTCATTATGTCTGGCAGGATCGTCAATGCTGCCTTGACAGAGTGAAGGCCACAGGTGACTGAGAAGTTGAACAATACATCCGGTCGTGTCTTCTTCTTTTGGCTCCGTTTTTTGTTACTTGTTTTCTTACTGATTTATTGATGTATGCGTTTATATTTATACATGTCTTTATTTAGGTTGGTGTTATAACTGCAAGGAACATGAGTATGGACGAAGCACAGAAATCCAGAATGCAAAATCACACTGAAGTCCAAGTATTCAAAGCCAAAGCAGATAGCACATGGAACCGAGTAACCATCCCATTGAGAATGATACAGAAGAATCGTGAGTCAATGTCCATGCCCAMCAGGGCAACACCAACAGCATAACCCAAATGTAGCTCTCTCTTGTGAATGGCGCCAGGCGCCCTATCTACTCTACAGCCTATCCTACAACTACAGCAATGAACAGCAACCAGACAACTTGACTACCAGCGAGTGATGATGTCAACACTAATGCAGACCTCCACCATCACCAGGTACGTGTCMTCTTCCCCACACTCTCCCTTGTTACCCACACAGCGCCCTTCACCTCCGAAGTACCACCTTCGCCCTCACCTCCCCTGCACCCYCATGCGGCCCGGCTATGGCCGCCAGTGCCCTGCACGCAGGCARCGCCCTACCGCCTAGYGCTGGCCTGCCCTGTCTTAGCGCAGCGCTGCTCTGCATAGCGCAGCACACTTGCATCTGTGCAGCGTGCCCGCATATGCCAGCATTGGCCAAGATCCTTGCTGCCTCGCCCTGCTTGCCTATATGCCAATGCAGCATGTGGGCGGCCTCCCTTCAGCCTGCGACCGGGACCCAGAGGCTGAAGCCTWCCCGATACAGTTGGGCCCCGGAGYAATGCAGTTGCGCCTCTCTTCTCAAGGCCTGCGGCCAGATTCAGATAGTGGGCCGATTTTCCCTTTGGCATTTCGGCCTCTCTACCCAGCATGCATTGTCGGCCTCACGTTCGAGTGCCCAGGGCCTAACTAACTCAGAGGCCCTGGGCATTTCAGCATTTGCTGAAATCCGAGACTTGGTGCACTCCAACCAACTGGCGTGCTGCAACTGTATAGACCCCACTTCGTGAAATGTTGGCCGAGAGGGCTCTTGTTGATTTGCTGGGGCGGGCAGTAGGCTTGCTGGGGCCTTAGCCCAGAACATGTACATCATGGCAAGGCCCCTACTTGAGGGCTCAATCCTTGCATAACTTGTCAGGGTTAGCAATAATGTTATTTGAAGGTACTACCATCTTCCTTCCACCGAATAGTACAGTCATTATAGCCGCATTTGGGGCAACTTCCTGTCTAGATACAGAGATAATGGATTGATCGTTAGGTGGACCGTTGGGGTTGCGGTATTGATGGTAGTTGTTGAAGAGTTTATATTACTTTATCCTGTTTAAATCATTGTTGACATCTCGTGTGTATCAGTGCGTGGGATTGTCTCTTACTCTCTATTCATATACCACGCCACAATAATTGCCGCACATTTGACTCTAGTGGGGTGAAGGCGGTAGGTCGTCACATCAGTCTTTCTGAGGTCAACTGCCTCTTCCCTTGTTACCTTCTTCCCTCGAATACAATTGTATGGTCATTATCGCTGTATGTGTTTGGGTTATCTTTCAGTCTACGTACAGCTATAATGACCGTACGCGGTATTCGGGGGGAAGAAGGTAGTACTGCTGTCCTTTCCATTGCGTATCCTTGCATTGCTGTCCTTTCCATTGCATATCCTTGTGTCGCTGGTACTGGCATTCACATCCATGCACTGTCCGTAGGTAAATGTTCTCAAAGGCTCAGGAAGGAGTCACAATTTCACAACGAGGACACGGCCATGAAGTTTGAAGTTTGAACACAACCGCTCGTGGTGCTCACGTGACCAGCATGACAGTTGTCGCATCTTCTGTGATGGATGTGGTCATTCTGGTCAGGTCGTTGATTGTACGATACTTATTGAAACAATAACGTGCAATTTGCACGTCGCGGCCCATTGCCTGAAAAAGGTGCTGGTATGCTTTCTTTTTTTTTTCTTTTCTTTTTTTCTTTTTTTTTCAAAAAACAACCCGAGTGAATGCTAGAGGTGCTGATAAGAGCAGACACCTCTAGCATACTCGGGGAGGCTCCATCTATTGGTGGGGAGCAACACCTGCTGGAAAACGTGTCCAGCGTCCCTCGACATTATAGGAAGGGCCATTTTGTAAGCAAGAGCTACCGTGCCACGTGTCCGACCTAAATATGCATGAGCTAGCTCCGAGTCGTCACTTGGACACACATCATCAATTCGATGGGCAGCATTGATTGCCCTCAATTGAGGGGATTAACTGGCCATCGTTAGAGTTATGTAACCGCGCCACGTGTCCAACCAAAATATGC